GACTAGGCATCACATATCTGGGATCGATGGTACGGACGAGGTCCCGAAAGCTTGCTTTCTCGACTATGTAAACGGGGGCCATGCCTTTACAGATATAGCGTGAAATAGCACCTGTGATCTGCTTGTGTCGCTGAGACGTCTTCTCATATTGTGATCCTTGGGCGAATGCTTCCTTAAGCTTCGGCTGTGAGAATTTCTTTCCAGTGCTTCCTGTATTTTCATCCCTTGTTTGTTTTGATCGGAGTGGTTGTAGTTTCCCGTGTTCTTGTTCATGATTTTTCTTTAGGTGGTAAAAGAGGCCGGAAGTATTTGCATCAGCCGCTGGAACGGCTTTGCTGCACAGTTTACATATCGGCTGCGTTTGTTCTTTATCAGATGGCTGAAATCCGAAATATAACCAAACAACCGAGCTGCCTCCCCTTTTGGGCAAAAGTGGTGTTTGTTGTTTCTGTGACCTGGCAACTGTTTCGGACTCTGTAACCGCTGCTGTGGTAACATCTTCTTGGGTGTCCATCATTCATTTTTTTTCAAGCCAGAAAGAAATTTCGCGGGCTCTCTCCGTCAGTAATGTCGCAAACGTATGGTGCAAAGCCGCGTGACGTAAAGCGGTGTAGTGTCGCAAAACCACGTTCTCTTCACATTATCTTTTTATTCTCTTTTTTTTTCGTTATATACACTTAGAGTTTGCATAGCAAAAACGCAAAATGTTATATTAACAAATTATATTAAAATGTATATTAGCAGTAATAATAATAATAAAAAAGTTTATCACGATAGAAAAAATAGAGGAGAAAGGTCACGATAGACATGTTTCTCTCGTCCTCACGATATATATCGCCATATCGCCCAGCTCTACTGCCAGCAAGTTGCAGTTTAAGTCTGATGACAGCATTTTTACTTCATTGTTTACATCCTTTCTTGGTCGATGCTTTTGCGTTGCCTGACGACCTTCCATTTACATGGGAGACAGATTTTCATCCATTGTCTAAAGCTGGGCACCGCTCAGTGACCGTCAGTGTTAGACAGTTGTTGGACAAGAGGTTAGGGAACATCCTGGACGTGTTGCCAGTGTATCGCACAGACACGGGACACAACCACGCAGCCTCACTCGGACCCAACCACCACCCAGACGCACCCAGGCCTACAACCACCCAGCCGCATTCAGACCGAAAACCTAGGGCTGAAAGATTTTGCCAAATAGTGATTTTTTTTTTTTTTTACAAAAATTGCAATTTATATTTTACTACGATTTTCAGTTGTTTAAAGCTTGCTTGTCCAGAGAACATTGTTAAACCCTGAAACCCTTGTGTGACAAAGGGTTTGCTTTTACTTCCATGCATGGCTCTGCTGCCACCTGCAACTCTCTACCTTTCTGTGTCGCAACAGATTAACTTAAAGCATTTTACCACCACCTGAAGGGCTGCAGGGAAAAATGTAGTGTCTTAATCTTGTTAAATATAGCACGATTAAAAATTTGTGCCTCTGCGATTTGAAAATAACATTTTGTTAAATTGGGACTATATATAAAATGCAACCAATTACCCAGCTATACTAAAAACATGCAAATTTGAGGGGAAAAAAAAGAGTAGAAGGAAGGGTTCTAACCCCTGTAAATGATGCTAACCTGTTCCATGGTGCAGCTATCAGATTGCTTTCTTTTTTAGCATCTCATATTAGCCATTGGCATGTTTAGCAGTGATAGAACATCCATTTGCAAAGTCTAGAGAACCATTTACCCATTATCTCTAAAGATTGGTTAACATTTCTAAACTCAGCTTTCCCATCATAAAGGTTCAGCAGAATCAGACGGAACAGCATTGATGTGAAGCATTTCGCCTTCCCAACACACCCCGAAGGACTGACTGACTACAGTACTGGGTGTCATTTTATTTTAAAGTGATGCTGTACACAATAATTATGTGCACAGATAATATTTCTAGCCATCTGGGTAATTTAAACCTTTAACGACTATATTTGATGCAACATTTTCAGCGGTTGAGATGCTGAAGCTTAAGGAGACATTGAGGATATTGCAATGAAGGAAATTTATAGCCTTACTTTCCTAAACTAAGCTTCCTCTAATGAGACTTTGCAACCCTAAAATTGGGCAAGTTGTGAGTTTTCTTCACTCAGTAAATGAATTCACACTAAAGAGTGTCAGTATTAACTATCAAATTGCACAAATTGTGATTACGAAAATAAAGTCGCTAAATAGAATTTAGAACAAAAACAGTCACGTTTTTCAATAAAGTTTTTACATTTCAATGAGATGGTTTTTCAGTCATATCGAAATTGTTAAATTTTGCAAAACTAAAGAAACAATTGTTTCACAGCACACCAGTCACGTGATCTGCAGCTGGACTTTATTGTTCTGTAAAAAAAAAAAAAAAAAAAAAAAAAAAAAAAAAAAAGATGGCGTCCAATAGAGCTGTGGCTTTATTACAGATCTCATGTAATAAAATCTTGTTCAGTTTTAATTGTATTTGTTATTTAATGGAAATACCGCAATTGGAAAAGTTAGGTTTTTTTTATTTAGCAGAACAACAACATAATTTTGCTCAAATTTGCAATGGAAATGCAGCTTGTGTTAAGATTGTTTTGTTCACTGCTTAGAAACAATCAGATTTTTACGTTTTCAACTCTGGTCTAAACAATACGGAAAGCAGTCTGTTCCAGTAAGCAGTCAGTTTCTGGGCATGTCTCTGAAAAAAATATATATATTTTGTTCATCTTCTAAATTAAAGAAAATAACATGAATGTTGGGGTGAGTATCATCATGGGTCTTGCAATAAGATATTGGTCATGAAACTTGGGCCCCAATAAGATAGGATATTGCAATATCACTGTATATTGCGATGTTTTTCCCAGCTATCAAAATGAAAATTACTAATAAAAAGCAGCAAGTTCTGCATATGTTCATCAGAAGATATTTATGTTTTAGTTATTTTGGTTTCCATGTTGTTTGGGGTTTTTGAGTCAATCTACGTCTTCAACAGTGACTGCCTAAGGGCTCCACAGCACCATCTACCAGAAAATCCCTAATTGTTTTCGGTTAAAAAATTTCATTTCTTTTTTTTTTTTTTTTTTTATCGAAAATTAGGACATGAAAGATTGATATTGTATCAGGCAGCCAAAAATCATGATATATTGCTGAAAGTTATTTTCTGTTGCCCTTCTATACATTTTTTATATAATTTGAGGGTAGAACATTATACTTTAAGCTTTACTATATCACCAATTTACTGATTTAGTGCGTAATTTGAAAAAAGTTCTGATGTTGAGGGGACCGTGGCAACCAGCGGAGCACCCAGGCTAACTGCAGCCAGGGCTAACGTTACCCAGGTTGCAGCAGCCCTCTCTCTGCTTAGCCTTGTGTGAAGTACCGCTGCTCTGATGGAGGTTTGATTGTTTTATTTGGCAAAATGTTCACTTGATTTGTGTTTATCAGACTGTGTTCATTATTATTTCCCAACAAAATGAAAAAAGTCAATTTATTATCTAGAGACTATTAACAACAGGAGATGAAATGCAGCTCCAGACTAGATTTGAATGTGGTGACATCACGAGTTCTGCTCCAATTGACAGTGATTTATTCTGCGTGCTCTCATTCTCCCCAAGTCCATACTTTCCTGGGTTCTTGTCATGAACATACTCGGCGAGGACACGAGTCCGTAGTTGCGTTCAAGTGAATTTAGAAACAGCCATTATACTCCTCATGCAGTTAAAGATATTTCAGCTTAGATATAACAGGAGATCTACAGTTCTTTTTTGTCACCTTCCTCTTCATCTTACCGCCACCAACTGATAAGGAGTGGAACAGCTAATCAGGGATTGTAGACCTATCTCAAATTTGTGTTTCATAATTGCAGTTTAAGTTTTCTCCAAGATGATTTATTCACAATTATTGACTTCCAAACACAAAATAAGACACCTACACATGTTTTTATTGGTGGTCATCATAAGGCAGGTTAAAGGTAATTTCAGACAAAGGATCAAGAACTGTACCATAGTGTCAACTATTAGAAAAAAAGGAACTTTAATGCCATCACCTGGTTATCTAATCATACGTAATCATTTTCAAGTCTATTTTGTGTGTATATTTCCCTCCATACTGGAGAAAACCTTCCTTACGGAAAGTGGGTTAGTGGTTATACCCACAGACAGGCAAGCCAGAGGCTATAATCACCAGCAGCTACAGTAATGGAAAAAAAGAAGAGAAGAAAAATCACTTTGATACTGTAACTGCAGCGCAGGGCCGAATGCGAAGCAAAGATTCCCAGCTGAGATCTGAAACATGAACCCAAAGGTTTGTTGTCTCCATGAGAATAAACTGTACAACTTCATGCAGAGGCAGCGAAGTGACGTGAGCAAACCCGCAACAACACACAGGGTGTAGAAAACACCAACACACACACAGGTCCTCTCAAAGGAAAATGAAATATGGATGATAAATAATAAATAGGAGTTGAAAAGGACCAGTTAATGTTTTATGAATCTGGGACATCATCTCACAGTGAGGCTGCAGGCTTTCGCCTCCTACCGCATGACACATGCAGAAAATAAAAGCAACACAAGGAGGAAAAAAAACAACAACACCATCATCACAGCATCACAGATTCATTCAAGAAGAGAGTTTCCACAGGCTGAGGGGCCAGAGGACCAGGGTCACCGCACACCTCACAGACAGGACGTACTTAGGCATCATGTCAGAGCAGAGAGGCGGTGAACTCTGGTACTTAGGAGGAATTAAATGACGATTGTTTGACCCCGGGACTCCCTGCTTCAACATCTGGAGGCCTCATGTTAATCATGGCTAATAGGCATGCAGTTAAGACCAGCTCTGTGCAGCACGGATGATTGCTTCACACACCCGCCTCATACACAACGGCTTGGAGAGGCAGGGTGTCACATTTCAGCTGGAAGGACATTGGCCCAGTCATGCCCTCTATGATGGACACGCGTGCGCAGCGCTCTGCTCCAGTCTATAAATCTACACTCACCTTGTATGAGGATGCGCACATCTCGACTGCGGAGGTTAATGTCGTTGGCAACCTCGCACCTGTAAACGCCGGAGTCGTTCCGGTGAAGAGGACGAAGGAAAAGCAAAGTGTTGTTTCTCATTTCCACGCCCTCTGGCATTTCATTGTCCAATCTGCAATACACAAAATAAAATAAAAAAGACATTAGAGAGGAATCAATCACCAGCAGTAACAACTAATCAGATGTTAAATATGAGATCTCAGTCAATCTCAGGTTGAACATTTTTTTTCCGCTGCAGGCCATATGGGCGGTTACCCAGGGCGGCATTCATACAGGACACATACAAGAACCAGATTTTAAAAAGAAACGTCTCCATCATAAGCAGCCAAGACAATATATATATATTTTTTTACTACTGCAATGCTGTCCTTGCCCAGACCGCCGGGCCTTCATATTTTGGTAAGTTTGAACTGGTACCAGAAACTGTCCAATTTTAGACAACTGAAATGCTTAATAGGCTTAATGATTTTTAAGTCCAGCCAACATGGTTTATGTCCAATACAAATATTGGTTTATACACATTCCTCTGGTACAAATATACCATAAAATGTGTTTTTATCCGATTCAGTTGTTGGGGTGTAAAACACACATGATTCATGTAGTAGCAAAGATACACAGAGAGACCGGCTGAAAAAGCCAATGAATTGCCAAAAAAGAATGGAAAAAATTAAAAAAGGACAAAATGAATAAATACAGGCTTATCAATTTCTTTTACAACTAAAATAGACAACATCTGACCGAAATTCTGAAAGTTATTTTTGATTTTAGGAATTAAGCTTTTCAGAGAAGTAAAAATACTAATATGTATAATTTGAGTACAAATACAAAAGCATGTCAATTGCTTTTTTAATTTATTTAATGTAACTTCAAATGATAATGAATCAATTAGAAATCATATAATTTCAAACCATAATGCAAGAACGATTTATGAAATATTTATAAAATATATATTAAATTATTCAATATTTAGCTGAATTTGAATCAAAGATATAAAAATAATCTATCACTGCTTTTTTTATAGAAAAAAAATGTATAGCAGCTCATAGAAGGTGCAGCACAGACATGTTTACGATTTTTGCTAGATTTAAAAAGCTACTGATAAAAAAAAAAAAAAAAAGATTTTTGAGAGAACAATTTGACATTTTCTATAATGCAAAGAAGCCCTGCAGCTTATGGACATTCGAGTCGACTTTCCACAAATTAGATCAAGTTGAAACATAAGAGGATTTTAAAAAGGGATTTTGGTTCAAAAATGCACGTCTGGACTTAATTCATATTGGACTTGTCTGACCAAACTGGTATTTATAAAAAAAAAAAGTCAACTTAGTTAAATTAAAAATCTTTTATTCCTCAGATGCCTAGCGTTGCCAATTAGCATCATACCAAAAATTCTAGCTGCAATGTTGAAATTATTAAACGCTTTTGAATCTAACAAATTATTTTTTGTATAACTGGGGATAGACAGGACATTCAGGTTGTTTCCATTAACAAATTACCAAATCTTTAGCTGAGTTGGGTGTGTTTGCAGAAAAGCCTTAAATTATGCTCTTAATGAGAAAGAGTCATGTATTATGACTTTAAGAATTGCTATGCCAGTAGCTCACTCTGGTCACATATAGAGGCGTTCTGATTAAGGATTTCACCATGTTGGGAAATTAATTACCGAATTTTCGGGACTATAAGCTGCTACTTTTTTTCCCACGCTTTGAACCACCCGGCTTCTGAGAAGGTGCAGCTTTTCTGTTGATTTTTCTTAACTGTAAGAGAGGGAAGTCAAAGTTGGAAATGAAAGAATAAGGAGCCAATTTTCATTTAGCACAAGAACATGCTAGCAGCAGGCACAACCGAGAACAAATGTCCCAAATTCACACATTTTGCGATTTATTTGCTGCATTAAAGCTATGTAGAGACTGAGCGCAACTCCTGCAGAGCTGAAATAAAGAGCTGAGCCCCATCTTTCAGTAGAAGCTCTTACTGCTGCAATCCAACAAGCTAACGGGAGCTAGCATTCTTCTTCGTCCCTACTGCAGGGGCTATATGTAGAGCTCCCCCTACAGGTTTGGGGGGAGACAGTTCAATAGATCAGCGGCTCATAGCCCGGTGCGGCTTATACAGGTGCTGGTCATAATATTAGAATATCATGAAAAAGTAGATTGATTTCAGTAATTCCATTTAAAAAGTGAAACTTGTATATTATTTTCATACATTACATACAAACTCATATATTTCAGATGTTTATTTTGTTTAATTTTGATGATTACAAATGACAACAAATGAAAATCTCAAATTCATCATACCAGAAAATTAGAATATTACTTAAGACCAATAAAAACAAAGGATTTATAGAAATGTTGGCCAACTGAAAAGTATGAACATGAAAAGTATGAGCATGTACAGCACTCAGTATTTAGTTGGGCCTCCTTTGGCCTGTATTACTGCAGCAATGCGGCGTGGCATGGAGTCGATCAGTCTGTGGCACTGCTCAGGTGTTATGATAGCCCAGGTTGCTCTAATAGTGGCTTTTAGCTCTTCTGAATTGTTGGGTCTGGTGTATTGCATCTTCTTCTTCACAATACCCCATAGATTTTCTATGGGGTTAAGGTCAGGAGAGTTTGCTGGCCAATTAAGAACAGGGATACCATGGTCCTTCAACCAGGTACTGGTAGCTTTGGCACTGTGTGCAGGTGCCAAGTCCTGTTGGAAAATGAAATCTGCATCTCCAAAAAGTTGGTCAGCTGCAGGAAGCATGAAGTGCTCTAAAACTTCCTGGTATGTGGCTGCGTTGACCCTGGACCTCAGAAAACACAATGGACCAACACCAGCAGATGACATGGCACCCCAAACCATCACTGACTGTGGAAACTTTACACTGGACTTCAAGCAACGTGGATGAAGTGCCTCTCTTCTTTTCCTCCAGACTCTGGGACCTTGATTTCCAAAGGAAATGCAAAATTTACTTTCATCAGAGAACATGACTTTGGACCACTCACCAGCAGTCCAGTCCTGTTTCTCTTTAGCCCAGGCAAGACGCTTCTGACGCTGTCTGTGGTTCAAGAGTGGCTTGACACAAGGAATGCGACAGCAGAAACCCATGTCTTTCATACGTCTGTGTGTGGTGGTTCTTGAAGCACTCACTCCAGCTGCAGTCCACTCTTTGTGAATCTCCCCCACATTTTTGAAGGGGTTTTGTTTCACAATCCTCTCCAGGGTGCGGTTATCTCTCTTGCTTGTACACTTTTTTCGACCACATCTTTTCCTTCCCTTCGCCTCTCTATTAATGTGCTTGGACACTGAGCTCTGTGAACAGCCAGCCTCTTTAGCGATGACCTTTTGTGTCTTGCCCTCCTTGTGCAAGGTGTCGATGGTCGTCTTTTGGACAACTGTCAAGTCAGCAGTCTTCCCCATGATTGTGTAGCCTATAGAACTAGACTGAAAGACCATTTAAAGGCTTTTGCAGGTGGTTTGAGTTAATTAGCTGATTAGAGTGTGGCACCAGGGGCCATCAATTTTGAACCTTTTCACAATATTCTAATTTTCTGATATGATGAATTTGAGATTTTCATTTGTTGTCATTTGTAATCATCAAAATTAAACAAAATAAACATCTGAAATATATGAGTTTGTATGTAATGTATGAATATAATATACAAGTTTCACTTTTTAAATGGAATTACTGAAATCAATCTACTTTTTCATGATATTCTAATTTTATGACCAGCACCTGTATATCAACATTTCCAGTTTTGTCACAAAAACTTAGTGGGTGTGACTTATAAAAAAACAACAACAAATAATTATAAAACCTAAAATTTGAAACAATGAAATGTGAAAAGAAAAGAAAAAAAATTAAAAGAATTTTCATTTCTGGATTAAATTTTTTTGCTAAAAAAAATAATCACTCCATTTTTGTTATTTCACACAAGTCATTGACTGGGCCGCTTTGCTGTTTGAAGACTGACAGATTTAGAGCTTTAGACATGGACATAAGGATCTTCTGCCCAGTTGTTTAGTTTATAGCAAATATTAACTAAAGACTGAAACTTAAAGGCACAGAAACACACCTGATCCACCTGAAGTGATGAGCCGGTGGGTTGGCGTTAGCTTTGCAGGTCATCTGGACGTTCTCTCGGCCAACGTACCAGTCTCCATCATAACCAACAACGGATATATCTGGAGCAACTGATTTAAAAATAAAGGTTAAAAACAACTTTAAACAAAATGTTTGCAATGTTGGAGAAAAATCATTAAGGATTGGATTCAAACTCTGATATGGAAACCACTTCTGATTAACTGTGGTTTGAATCCTTTTTAATACAGGAGGAGGGTAGCCTCGCTGTCATGTTCAGGATATTAACAGTGTGAATGAAAGAAAAATAACTGATTATTAAAAAGACAAACTTTAAAGGAATAGTACACCCAAAACATGATTAGCCTTCATTTTCTACTCACCCCCATGCTGAACAACACTCTGGAGTACTTTTTTGATATCTCAAATGCATCTGGAGATCTGGGAGGCTTCTTGCTGTCTGCTGACATTCAAATAATGGAGGTCTATGGTGCCCGAGACAGAAAGGTCCATAAAAGTCCACAAAAAACCTGTCAATATTCCTCCATACTGCTCGTCCAATGTATTCCAAGTTTCCTGAGTGGGTAGCATCCAGAATTTACTCGAAACGAAGTCATTTAGAATGTTTTTAGAGCATAAACAGTAGTGTATAGGACTTCCTGAAAGCGCGCACATGCGCAATCACGACGCTACGGAAGCCGGCAGACCAAACCAGCGCATTCAGCTCGGCAAAGAACTCATGCTCTTCCTCAACACTGAAGTCCTCAGACATTTTTCTTTCGTTGTTTCTTTCTTTGCACAGGTAAACGGCACATTTCTTCTTCTACGCTTGCATTATTGGAAGAGCAGACGCTGAATGCGCACTTTCATCTGGTTTGGTCTGCCGGCTTCCGTAGCGTCGTGATTGCGCATGTGCGCGCTTTCAGGAAATCCTATACACTACTGTTTATGCTCTAAAAACATTCTAAATGACTTCGTTTTGAGTAAATTCTGGATGCTACCCACTCAGGACACTTGGAATACATTGGACGACCAGTATGGAGGAATATTGACACGTTTTTTGTGGACTTTTATGGACCTTTCTGTCTCGGGCACCATAGACCTCCATTATTTGAATGTCAGCAGACAGCAAGAAGCCTCCCAGATCTCCAGATGCATTTGAGATATCAAAAAAGTACTCCAGAGTGTTGTTCAGCATGGGGGTGAGTAGAAAATGAAGGCTAATCATGTTTTGGGTGTACTATTCCTTTAACCAAATTAAGTGTCTGAAAACAGGTAGAAATTACATTAACTCTCAATGCGTCCCGTTAGTGACTGAAACCTACACTGCACGTTGAGCTGGTAGGGGATCCTGAAGTCGCTCTGCAGGGCAGGGTGACGGACCACACAGGTCAGCGCGTGGCCCTGGATGTGGCGTGTGGGCTGCCAGATGTAGCGCACCTGTGTGCTGGTTGTGCCGTTGACATCGTCAAACAGCTGTACCTCCGACTGACCGAACAGGTTGGACTCCCAGGACACCTCGGCGGGGGGCCGGGCTCGCTCAGCGATGCAGGTGGCCACCACAGTGTCGTTGCCACCATCGATCAGGGCAGCTGAGCCAGCAGAAACGTAGACCTTTGGCTCCACTGGTTAACAAATGGAGAAGACAATTAAATTCTAAAAAGACAACCCCTGAGGGGTGGTGTTATAATGCTTTCATCACGTTTATCATTACTGAATAAGCTTGATTTTCTGCTTTCTGCTACAGCCATGGCGTGTTTGGTAGAAACGGGCTGGTTGGATGGATGCAAACGCAGCCACTCTGTGTGGTGACAACTCCGAGCTCAAATGAAAAATGAGTAATCTCCTCAGTAAAAATGAAAACACAGCCCTTGAACTTGTTATTGCTCACAAAGTGAACCAATGATTCTAATAGGGGGGCGTAGGAGACCTTGACTAAACTGGTGATGCCGGATTTGTGTTTGTTTGCTCTTAAGGATTTTATTTAGCAGGAGAGACCTAAAAAGGATGAAAGAGGTTCTGCAGGTAAACAAAAAAAAGACTTAATCTAAAAACCTACTGTTGGGGTCACTCTGAAATGCAAAGCTATGACTGAGAGAAAAGACCAGTCAGTCCAAAACAGCTTCAATTCATCAAATCCTGGCCTGAGAGAGAATTTTTCAAACCTAAATAAAAGCTAAAACTTTTAGCGATTTTGTTTTTTGTAGGGATAAAATAATAACCTACAACATTATTATTGGTCATTGTGAGCATTTGTATACGGCTTGAAATTCAAGAAAATATGATCTGTAAAATGAAGTTTGAAAGGAATGCATGAAGGAGAAAATCAAATCTTTTTTTGAAATATTAAATCAGAACAAGCAGCTACAACTACTTCACAAAGACAACCTTGGTGACTTAATCAAGATTTATTTATGGTCAATTGCACACTTTTCTTTTCCGGCCTATTAAACGGCAGGAATCTAAAAAAAACTTCAAGAGTGATGGAGAATACAGCTTTAGGAGCTGTGCCAAAAGTCCACTAAAAAAACTTTCTAAGGCTGCAGCAGTTCGAAAAGAGGTCCAACAGAAACTGAAATCAGAAGTTGAGCTTCTTCAGAAATCTTTCCTGAACTGCTGATATTCAATTTTAATAAAGCACTTAAACAAACACCATTAATTAAAATCAAACAAAATATTGGATTGAGAAGGGATTCCGACACCTACCAAGCACACTAACAGTGGTAGAGGCCTGAGTGTTTCCCAGAGGAAACGTAGCCACCTTACAGGTGTAGATCCCCACGTCAGAAAAGCCCACGTTTCCTAGTACTATGGTGGCATCATGAGAGGAGGGCGAGCGGAAATGCAAGCGGTTGATGTACTCTGGAGGGATGAAGGTGCCGAGGTCTGGGTTATACACGGCCACCGTGACCGGGCCTGTAGGTAGGCGGCGCTCCCAGGAGCTCTGAGTCAGAGTAAGGTTTGTGCCAAATTCCACCCGGCAGTCTAAAGTCACGTTCTTTCCCAGCACAGCTCTCACTCTCTTAGGCACCACCACCTGACTGCACACGGCACCTGCCAAAAGACACAGAACACAAGCGATATCGGCAAACTGGCTTCAATAAGATCTATGCTTAAGACTTTAAAAGGTGAGGGAATGCTAGTTTTCATAAAAAAATAAAAAATAAAAAATACAAAACACAAACATCTAGGGGCGTATTAATTAAAAAGAAAAAGAAAAACTCAGATTCTGGCAATAATTCCTAAAGATCCATTCATATAAACACATATTTTAAGAACTGCATATTCCACTTTTCCTTACATCTGCCCTTAAATACCATTACTTTATTAACTATTGAATGTTGACATAAGGAGCTGGGCGAAATGGCTCAAAGATCTACTCTTAAAAAATTGATTTTATCAAATAATAACAGAGCTTTAATATAATACTAACAACAATATATTGCATAACTATACAGTCTGAAGAGAATCTATTCTAAATACAAAGAATCATAATTGAATCCTAAGAATTTGAATTAATACTAAGGATTAAAGAAATGATTGACTTATGATTGTTGATTGTTTTATTAGATTCAAATTAACTGATAACAGGCACTTGCTTTAGGTTTAATGTTACTGCAGTCCTCTAGAGGGCACCACAGGTCATTAAGCAAAAGCTCGCTGCATACAAGAGAACTAATGCCAGCGCAGAACCATGTGCTGAGTTTGAATCCAGCGGCTGCGTCCTGAGAAGGCCAGATTAGTCAACTGCTTACGTCATTGCGCAGCGCTGAGGTCGTTTTGCGGCCGACAAACACAGCCTTCTTTTTGGACAGGACAGGTCAGCTGTATCCTTCGTAGCCTTGGGTATCCCATGATTCATTGCGAATCCAAGCAAGCCGGCTGCTCCGTGCTCAGAGGTAAAAGGGAAATGGCGCCAAACAGTGGCAAATTCAAATTTCATATAATTCAAGTATGTGAATAGTTTTGTTTGAAATGAATGAAAATAGTTTATTCAATGGTTACCGAGTCAGATATGTGGCGGGTAAGGTTTGGTTTATTGAAAGGTTTTATCTGTCCCTGTGTAAATGGGTTTGGCTGACATTTAAGCTCAGATTCCAATATATCTGCAGTGTTGGGACTATAAATCTGAGACGACGGTACCGCTGCTGAAGCTCTTCGAAAATGCTTTTAAATGTCTTACCCATAATTTCTCCGTCTTTGGCTGTTGACCTGCAACGATAAGTAAAACCAACTACTCTCCTGACCCAGTTTAAATAGCAGATAACTAAGTCTCCAGTATAGTTACTGAATAGTTTATTAGGCAGGAAAAAAAAAAAAAAAAAAATGCCCCCCCCCATCATCTTCGCGATAAAGATGTTTTATCTTTTGATATGTCGCACAGAAAAAGAAGTGATGCAGAGATAAAGATCTATAGCTTTAGACCAATATTCCAGAACAACTATTATGCATAAACCCTCACATGACAGCTCAATATGCTTAATCATCTAGAAAGTACATAATATATTTTTATTTTTCGTTTATGGATTAGGAGCTGCTAAAACTTGGAATGGTAGATCAGATCAAGATCTTAATTATGGATCATTGTGACAATGAACTTGTGCTACTCTAAAATGAAAGATCCTCTGAAAACACTTTATAGATCACTGGAAGGATCCATGTTGTTCCAGTTGAGAGGTAGGAAGAAGGAAGACAGGATAGAAGAAGGAAAAGGATAGGAGGGAGGAAGAAGAGGAGCTTTGACAATAGATTAGCAAAAAAAAGTACTAAAATCATCTAGATTCACAGCAATACAGAGAATAGATGAAATACAGAAAAGAGGTCAAAAGTACCACAAGGGAGAAGTGTTTTATTGATGTTAAAATCCATTTCATATCTGAACCATCTGACATATTATGGCATCAGTTCAAAGATGAGGACCTAGAACAAATAACGCAGCTTAGTGATGAAGACTACAGAGTTCTTCATCACAAAATAATAAAAACTCTCCATCCTTCTGACCTGAATGCAGGAATATACAGGTGCTGGTCATAAAATTAGAATATCATGAAAAAGTAGATTGATTTCAGTAATTCCATTTAAAAAGTGAAACTTGTATATTATATTCATACATTACATACAAACTCATATATTTCAGATGTTTATTTTGTTTAATTTTGATGATTACAAATGACAACAAATGAAAATCTCAAATTCATCATATCAGAAAATTAGAATATTGTGAAAAGGTTCAAAATTGATGGCCCCTGGTGCCACACTCTAATCAGCTAATTAACTCAAACCACCTGCAAAAGCCTTTAAATGGTCTTTCAGTCTAGTTCTATAGGCTACACAATCATGGGGAAGACTGCTGACTTGACAGTTGTCCAAAAGACGACCATCGACACCTTGCACAAGGAGGGCAAGACACAAAAGGTCATCGCTAAAGAGGCTGGCTGTTCACAGAGCTCAGTGTCCAAGCACATTAATAGAGAGGCGAAGGGAAGGAAAAGATGTGGTCGAAAAAAGTGTACAAGCAAGAGAGATAACCGCACCCTGGAGAGGATTGTGAAACAAAACCCCTTCAAAAATGTGGGGGAGATTCACAAAGAGTGGACTGCAGCTGGAGTGAGTGCTTCAAGAACCACCACACACAGACGTATGAAAGACATGGGTTTCTGCTGTCGCATTCCTTGTGTCAAGCCACTCTTGAACCACAGACAGCGTCAGAAGCGTCTAAAGAGAAACAGGACTGGACTGCTGGTGAGTGGTCCGAAGTCATGTTCTCTGATGAAAGTAAATTTTGCATTTCCTTTGGAAATCAAGGTCCCAGAGTCTGGAGGAAAAGAAGAGAGGCACTTCATCCACGTTGCTTGAAGTCCAGTGTAAAGTTTCCACAGTCAGTGATGGTTTGGGGTGCCATGTCATCTGCTGGTGTTGGTCCATTGTGTTTTCTGAGGTCCAGGGTCAACGCAGCCACATACCAGGAAGTTTTAGAGCACTTCATGCTTCCTGCAGCTGACCAACTTTTTGGAGATGCAGATTTCATTTTCCAACAGGACTTGGCACCTGCACACAGTGCCAAAGCTACCAGTACCTGGTTGAAGGACCATGGTATCCCTGTTCTTAATTGGCCAGCAAACTCTCCTGACCTTAACCCCATAGAAAATCTATGGGGTATTGTGAAGAAGAAGATGCAATACACCAGACCCAACAATTCAGAAGAGCTAAAAGCCACTATTAGAGCAACCTGGGCTATCATAACACCTGAGCAGTGCCACAGACTGATCGACTCCATGCCACGCCGCATTGCTGCAGTAATACAGGCCAAAGGAGGCCCAACTAAATACTGAGTGCTGTACATGCTCATACTTTTCATGTTCATACTTTTCAGTTGGCCAACATTTCTATAAATCCTTTGTTTTTATTGGTCTTCAGTAATATTCTAATTTTCTGATATGATGAATTTGAGATTTTCATTTGTTGTCATTTGTAATCATCAAAATTAAACAAAATAAACATCTGAAATATATGAGTTTGTATGTAATGTATGAAAATAATATACAAGTTTCACTTTTTAAATGGAATTACTGAAATCAATCTACTTTTTCATGATATTCTAATTTTATGACCAGCACCTGTATAACCCACCAACGGGCTGCATTGCCTGGAGAAAGGCTGCATGACTTGGTGCTTTACTAACCAAAGTCCAGAGGATAAAAAGGAGAACAGTCTGCTCATTCCCTTCATTTCTCTAGTAGGAGAAATGAAGGGAAGAGATATGCAAACACGATGACATCATCATTAGGAGAAGAAAAGAGGGCTGAGAGGAGAGGAAGGAGCGCGTCAGAGACGCATCCAGCAGAAACATCAGATTCAAATACAAAGACAACACAGGAATTACAATATTAACCTGAACCACAATGGGAACAGTAACAACCACACACTCTGAGCCTTTCATTAAATTCCTAATTGAAACAAGATGTCAAGAGAAAAACATGGCCGCAAATTGAAATCGGCTGCACTGGTCTGGAAACTGCCTCCAAATATTCTTTTGTTGTTTTGCCAGAAACTGTTCAGTCACTGACCGAAGGACAGGTCTTCAAAAATGGGCACCGTGGGCGGAAAGTTCCCTGAAACCAAACCATAAACCGTCCTTATCTCTTAATATACAGATTAGTTAAATGCTGGTAGATTTTGTTTATAGATGCATAAATCAGTGTGGGTTATGTTGTTTTTTTAAAGCATAGATGATCCGCTTCAGCAAAGCTCAGATAAACAGCAGAGATTAGTTGATTTGAAGGAGGAACCTGGAGTTTTTTGTCCCACCAAAGCAGAACTCATTTCTGTCTCACAGCGACTCAGGAGGAAAATATTCACCCATCTAGGAACAGGATGGGTCAGAGCTCCAGCCAAGACTTTCCGGCAGTGTGTCCATTAAAGAGCTCTGCTGTTATCCATGCAGCCCATTTCCGGCTTTCCACTGCACAGACGCAGAGGCTAAGAGGAACACGGAGAAGAACCCTCTAATGGGTCACATTATGGTGACGACCGGGTGTGATGAACCCAAGCATATGGGGGAAATTTTGTTCCATTATTTTTGAAGGCCAAAATCTGTATTTTGTAGATGGAAAAAATTGTTTTGTAAATGGAAATTTAAAGACAATGCAATCCATAAATAAAATTTTGAAAAAAATGTATAATAAAAGAAAAAGAAAAAAAAAAACTGTATTGGGAGTTTTTGCTGTTTTCTTGGATTCTATTCTTTCAAATGGTCTTTATTAATATATTTTATTCTACAGTTTCTACTTTTGAGATTGTGTTAATAATTTAATTATTTACAAATTGCATTTTACAGTTCACACTTCTAGCATAATACAAAAGTTTGTTTATAAATCAGAGGAATATTCTATAAAAGGCACTTATAAAGGCATGAGAAGAAAAGAAAAAAGTTTTAAGGCAAGGCTTAAACCTCTCCTTTTTAATAAAGCTTATAGTTCGAGCGGCTAAGGTTATCCTGAGCTATCTCTATGGTTATGCTGCTATAGGTTTAGACTGCTGGAGGACTTGGGGAC